GCCGCCTGCCCGCTCTTCTTTTCCACTCGGGCTGTATGAAGGAGCAAGCTGCAGACGCCAGGAACGCTGCTCCGACCCCAGCCCAACCTGATCCTCTCTGTGAGCTCCGATGCGGGCGGTGTACACCCGGCTCACTGTGCAGTCCGCCCCCCGTCCGAAAAAAAATACTCCCCCTCTGGCCCATTACTTCTTCTATATCCGTGGCCTTTACTGCAGGTACCCATAAGGTACGCTGCCCTCCTGAGCCTGAGTACCCAGCTCGAAATAGGACAGCGGCCCATTGGTATCAGCGGTACCAAGCCCACAGATCCGCGGTACTTCCCTTCAGCAGCGATTTTTCCGTTGGTGCCGCGGTTTAGGCTCGGCAGTCAAGTATTGCACCACGAAATAACAGCCCCAGACTGCAATGACCCTCACCAGCTACCATTGTTAGCTCAGTGACCAAGGCCGGAAATAAGTGTACCAAAAATAGTGAAAACTCAGATCTTACCAACCTTGTAGGATCAAATTATATTGTGGTCCGTCCCTCATCGTACCTGTTCCAAATCGGGCAAGTGCATGTTCTGATCCAACGGCCGTACCAAAACAATGAAGGATACCGTACCATGTCGCCAATATCGTGTCAACCCCGTACAAGCCCCGAACCAAATGTGGCCGCACCGTACCTCCCCCGAACCAGCATCATACCGAACCCATTTCGAACCTGAATAGGAGCCTGTCCAGTCATCATGCCATCTTGATGCCGAATACCGTACCACGCAGACGTGCCGTGATAGTACAGAGCCTGCCCCGAGCTGTACCTGCGCCGTGACCGTACCCAGATTGATTGTACCGAGCCTCAAGGGCTGGCTGATGTGCCAACCCACTAATTGCACCTGAAATAGTTGCCACGAACAGTAAAGGCCTGTGCCGTCACTGTACCAACGCCGAACCTGGAATAACCAATCTGAACCGCAGCAGCCTGAACCTTTACCATGCCTGGCCCGTGACGAATACCGTACAATGCCGCTATACCGCGATAGATACCGTACCTGAAGCCCATCAGACACCGTAGGATGTAGCCACTCCGTAACGACCCTCGTATCCGTACCGAACCAAACACCATAGTCGACCCAAGGCAGCACCACCCCATGCTGTCTATGCGACTCCTGCTCTCAGAACATCTTAAGTGCGGTAATGTTAGTAATCAAGCACACCAGGGAAAGCGTCGCAGGGAACCTCGACCATCGGCGGTAGTGTTAACTTGTTAAAATCCGGGGAAAATGATCAATCCGGAGTCAGAGCTGATGACGGGTAATCGAGGCGAAATTAGACCAATCTCCCAATAGTCATGGGTTCCCGTCCCTTTCATCATTTTTCATCTTTCTTTCCTTTCCTTAATTCTACTGTCGGAAATAGTAAATTAACGGTAAGTTCCCCAAAATTAAATTCCGAGAAAATTTAAATAAATGGCCGAATTCCTTTTGTTTCTTTTCTCTTTTACCATTTTTAATATTTTTCTATGTTTTTAATTTCATTGCCGGGAACATAAAATAACAAGGGTATTCCCCTTTGAATTAAATGCCGTAAAATATAAAAAAATTAAGGGATATTATGTTTTTCCCTTCTCCCCTACTGGTCGTAATCCATTTTTCCCATCTTTAATTATGGTACTAAAATGAGCAAAAATGTGAGGCTTCATTTCGGCCCCGGTCGCGCCTAGTGCGGCCACTCATCTCGTCGTCTTTGAGGGTTGCTCGTAAAGTTCAGCGCGCGAAAAACCAGGGGTGCCCTGAGCTCCCCTAATTTTTGCTGCCCGGTCAACCCGGAGCACCGTCAAAACACGGACTTCTCTCTGAGCCTAAAACCCAAAACCCCAGATTTCAAGCGGCGCACTGCTTGTGGCCGCCTGACACCATGCCCCCTCTATTTCTGAGTGGTTCCTGTCTCCCTCTGAGCTGTGGATGGGCAGGTGGGCCAGCGGGTGGACACACGCGCAAGAGTGGACGGGTGGGGTGGGTGGGTGAGCAAGCACATGTGTGCGTGTGGGCAGGCGGGCGGGTGGGCATGCTCACGCATGTGGGTGGTCGGTGGGCAGGCGAGCGTGTGGGTGCATGGATGGATACGGAAACCTCCCTGCAAACAACAACTAGGACCTCATTCTGCTCCCACCGTCCAACCTGGACGATTTCATTGGTCGAGGCCAGAGATGAGCACCGGGTACCCAGACCCGCACGCACCTGCACCCACCCCACCCACGAGAACATTGGGTCAGGTGCGGGTCTTGATAAGGTGACCTGGGTGGGATGAGGGCGGGTCAAGGCCAGGTATTCTGGGTGGGTGATAGGTGGGTCAACATTAGGCCTGGGTCACCTGAGTGGGTGGGTGACAGGTGGGTGAGTGCTAGGCCTGGATCACCCGACCCACTGACCTAGGACAACCCATGAGGACCCCCACCCCCCCCCAATCCCTGCACGAAATGTCCACCCGTATAAAAAAGTCGAAGGTGCACGCAAGAAGCGTCAAGTCCCGCTGTCGGCCTGCCTGGAAAAAAAAAAAAGTCGAGGTCCTCCTGAAAAAAAAAGCAGGAACCTTCTTTCAAATTTTTCACACGCTGAGAGAGAGAGAGAGACCAATGTGTGTGTGTGTGTGAGAGAGAGAGAGAGAGAGAGAGGCATAGATCTCTCTCTCTCTCTCTCTCTCTCTCTCTCTCTCTCTCTCTCTCTCTCTCTCTCTCTCTCTCTCTCTCTCTCTCAGAGGCATCTCTCTCTCTCTCTCTATGCCTCTCTCTCTCTCTCTCTGTCTCTCTCTCTGTGAGCATGTTTGATTTTGTCATGTCACATTATAATATCCTATTGCCTGTAAATGTTCGAAGGGATAGACAATAGCGGGCACGGACGGCTGCGGGTGAAAAGATACTACATCCCGGGTGCRGGCGGGCAATGATTTTGTTGTGGGTGCGGGTGGGTCTGGGTGAACCTTTTTTACGGGTGGCGGGTGGGTTGGGCGTGGGCGTAAAAATTCAAAAAAATGCTTGGGTGGGTTGGATGAGCTTCAAACCTTTTTTTTTCTTTTTTTTCTTAGGGTGGCATGTACTAAGAAAATTTTGGGTGGGTTGGGTGAAGTGGCATTTAAAAGAAAAAATGCTCATCTCTGGTCCAGGCACATCATAAACACGCACCCAAAAAAACACACGATTCTGTCCCATATACATTCCCACACCATGACTTGGCACATACATACCCTTACACCTGACACAGACAGCAGACAGCAGACAGTTATGCAGCTGAAAGACAACAGATCAACAAAAAGCATAACCCCCAAACCTCCCTCCAAACATTGAATGACCCCTCCTCCCACTACCGAAACTGATCAACATAAAGCATGACCCCCAAACCTCCCTCAAGACATTGAATGACCCCTCCTCGCACGACTGCCATCCAACCTTTGCCATTCTGTTCCATATTCATTCCCACACCATGGAAAGAAAGGGGGGGGGGGAAGAGAGAGGGGAGGGGAGCCAGAGCTCCCCGTCACTTGACATAATTTTCTTTATGCTTTTTTTATTTTTCTTTCTTTCTTTCTTTATTTATTTTAAAGGGTTGCGAGGGGTATCCGGGACGTTCGCTAGGAGGCTGGACGCACCGAGTTCAGCCTCCCATTGGCACAGTGAACCCACCCACACACACAGGACACTCAAGCACAGAGCCCACAGCCTCGACCACACACACAGGGAGGTATCGACCGGGATCGGCACTACCGATCACCAGCACCGGGATGCACCGTTCTCGAACTCAGGTTCCCGACATCCCCGAGGCGCCCTGCCTGGAGGCATCACCTGCCGCCAGAGGAGACGGTCATAACCCTGCTAGAAGAACCGCGAACCCTGGCATCCCTTACCTTCACTATCCCCACTGAACCCACCCCTTCCCTCGCCCCATCCCCCCATGACGCCGCACAACCCAACTCTCCGACAACCCACATGGAGCAGTGCCCTGTGACACCCAGGGGCACAGCCTCCAATCCGGCAGCCCAAATGGCTGGATCCCACAGTTTGGGGCTGTATCTTCTGTTTCGAGCATTGGACCTCTTGCCTTGCCGGTGTACACACAACCCTGCATCCGGCCACACCCGCCCGGCCGAATGCGCAGGGCGCAGGCCTGAAGATTCCAACCTGGGCCCTGATACCACAAAGATTCGAACCTGGGCCCTTATACCACAAAGATTCGAGCCTGGGCCCTTGTACCACAATGCGCATTCAACAGGGGTGGTCATGTGTACATCATACTCTCACACCTGAACACAACGGACAGTTATGCAGCTGAAAAACAACTGATCAACAGAAAAGCATGACCCCCAAACCTTCCTCCAAACAATACCTGACCCCTTCTCGCACTACCACCATCCAACCTTCACCATTCTGTTCCATATACATTCCCACACCATTTGTTTTTTTTTTTGGCGGGGGGAAGGAGGGGTACGTAGGCCAACCAACCTTTCTATTTGCTTACCTTTGACAAATTGCAACTATGGTTGACCCACCCACCAATCCTCTGCCACCAATCCTCCACCAACCCCCGACCACCAAACCTCCACCAAACCTTGAAGAATCAGTTTAAGATTCACAACCATACAAAGCCACCATCTCTCTAGCTGCTGTGCTGTACCTCAGAAGAAGTTCCGTTTCTCTACCCCCCAAAAAAGCATGCAATTTACCAGCTTATATATATATGTGACGATATATATATCGTCACAAACAGAACTGCCCGGTAAACCGTAGGCAGAGAGAGAGAAGAGGACAACAAACGAGGGGCTGTGACAAACTGTTTCGTCGGAGTTTCACCGACTCATCAGGAGGTTGATATATATATATATCAAAGGCCACCATCCTTAAAGAATCTTACAGCAACCCGGCAACCAACCAACCTCTGCCATCTGTGGAATTGCATATACATGTATGTCTCTAAATTCACTCCAATATTTAATTTAATTAAATACATGTTAATTACATAGATATGTTGTCTTTTGATATATCTTCATTAATTCATTAAATTCTCCTATTTATTATTCTATTCATAGATGTTCTATTCAATTATTGATTAATTGTATGTTATCGTCACATATACATATCATTAGAACAGGTCTTTCGCGTAGAGGCCGTGCAAAGACAACATTCCTCCTCCTTCGCCTCTCCTCCTCCTTCTCCTTCTCCTCTCCTCTCCAACCCCTCCTCCGCCTCCTCCCCCCACCTTACTGTGCAAGACACACTACTATGGAGCCAGCATCGCCATAGCTGATGTTCCGTGCAGGGAAAACACCCCGAGGCCTCGTACATCAGACCTGCCAGGTATTCCGTCGCCACCTTGTCGTCGAGATCTGGAATGAAAGACAGGACTTACACCGACCAGGCCACCATCTTTCGGCGGCCGTCAACAGAAAATAAATCGCTTATCCTCCCGGCAAAACCGTCTATACTAAGCACTAAACTGAACTCTTCCACACAAAACAAACAAACAAACAAACAAAAAAAAACACTCTTCCAGAAGAGGACCAAGAAACGCTCGAAGGCTCGAAAATCATCAAAAAAAAAAAAAAAAAGACGACAAACTCTCAATCAATCGTGAATCGTAGGAGCCCTTCTTCTCCTGGAGAGATTTCACCCTTGTCGCGCAAGGGCCGTCCTTCAGTCCCGAAACTGTACATCGTCAACCACAAAACGACAAAAAGAATCGTCAACCTTTTTCGAGATTACATGATCAACCACAAAACGACAAAAAGAATCGAAGAAAGGGAAAAGGGAAAAGACTCTCGTGAAGAGAGAGAGAAAGACTAAGGGGGTAACATGACACGGGGGTGGGGGAGGGGGAAGGCGACAATGTTTTCGGATTAATTTGACAAGAGGCAGAAATAGTCGAACTACACCACCCAACCTACACCATCCATCCATCCTACTCTGTGTGTACGAATGGGTGTGTGCTTGAGAGAGAAATCTCTGCGTGCTTGAGAGAGAAATCTCTGCGTGGAAGAGTACGTCATTTGTGTGAGAGAGAAGGAGAACGAAAGAGGAACATGTTCTTGGCGAAGGAAAGAGACAGGGGGCGGTGGGGGAGGAGAAAAAGAGGGTGGGGAGGTCGTTAAGTTCTGATCAGAGCAGCGCGTTCGACAAATAAGCAGGGGGCTCTTCTCTGCTCTTCTCTTATTAGGATCTGAGCCCTTCCACAACGCAAGCAGCATACATATTCTGCGCCGCCGCGACGGCCTTCACCGCCTCTCCGGAGTCCAGAAAATCGTTGACGGCAACTTGTTTGTTCTCGTTCTTCTTGTAATCTTCAAAGAACCTTCGGATTTCCGCTAATCGATGCGGAGCGAGCTCCCTGATGTCCGTGTAATGACGGAACTCGGGGTCGTCCGCACAGACGGCTATGATCTTGTCGTCTTTCTCCCCTTGATCTATCATAGGCATCAAGCCTATGGCTTTGGCTCTAAGGAAACACCCTGGGATGACCGGTTCTTGCATAATGACAAGCACATCCAGAGGGTCGTCGTCTTCGCACAGCGTCCGTGGGATGAAGCCGTAATTGTGAGGGTAAACTACCGACGAATACAACACCCGATCTACCTTAATGAGACCCGTCTTCTTGTCAAGCTCGTACTTAACTTTACTGCCCTTGCTGATCTCGATGACGACGTTGAAGATCGACGGCGCGCCGGGCCCGATTTCCAAATCATGCCACGGATGTGCAGCCACCGACCGATTGATGATGAAGTTATTGAAAAGCGCCTTGTTACCTGAGGCCCCATTGCTGGAGGGAGCGGAAGGTTTCGCCGCCATGGCTGCTCGTAGCTTCTTGCACAGGTATAGCGGCGGGCTCCGGTGAGAGAGAGGAGGGCCAGGAGAAGAAGCGGCGGGAGGAGAAGTAGGAGAATCTGCAGCAGCGGCAGGAGGACAAGCGGGAGAATCGACAGCTGCAGGAGGAGAAGTAGGAGAATCTGCAGTAGCGGCAGGAGGAGAAGTAGGAGAATCTGCAGCAGCGGCAGGAGGACAAGCGGGAGAATCGACAGCTGCAGGAGGACAAGCTGGAGAATCGACAGCAGCGAAAGGACAAGCGGGAAAATTGACAGCAGCAGAAGGAGGAGAAGTGGGAGAATTGACAGCAGCAGAAGGAGGAGAAGTGGGAGAATCGGAAGTAGCAGAAGGAGAGGGGGTAGATTCTAACGTCGAAATTGCCAGCAGGCAGTTTAGATCAAGCTGCGTCAACTTCTGCGAGAGAACGTCTCCTTCTCCTACTCTTCCTCCTCCTCCTCCTCCTCCTCCTCCTCCTCCTCCTCCTCCTCGCACAGGCAAGGTCACCACCTTGCCATGGACATTGCGGACCGAAGTAGGCGAGGGGGACAAGGAAGGACGAGGGGACCGGGAGGCAGAACGGCGGCTCACAAGCGGGACCGATCGGCGAGAGAGAGCATCGTCCAAACCACCTCCTTCTCTCTCCCTCGACCTGCCCAACCGTCGCCTGGTGGGGTCACCCGTAGGTCCGCTGATGCGGGACAAAGATTCCCGCTGACGGGAACGGTCCTCTTCTCTCTCCTCCAGTTTGGCTCGTGATGCCGAGTCGGCCGAGACACGGTCGTCTGAGATCTTCAATAGACAGCAACACCTCACTGTAGCCACGTCGGCCGAGACACGTGTCTCTCAGTGACCAGCTCTCACACACACCATCCCGTCCACCGCACAAGCTATGGAAAAACACACCTCACACTGTGCGTGCATGGCCTCCCATGCAGCTGCCAAAGACGAAGCACCCAGCCAGCCACAAGAGAGGCTCGAACCAGCGAAAGCGAATCTCTCCCGTCCCCTTTCCACTCCGTTAAGACAGCTGGACAGCTTGAACAATGGTAGTTGGCCTCCTGCCGATCTTCCACGGTTGTATACACCACTACCAGCCAAGAGAGACTGGCTGCCTTTTCAATTGACAAGCAACTATGTCTGCTGAACACAGCGCTGTGTGTCTAGGTACGTGTTTGAACTCTCGTCTCCTCCCTGCCTGCAAGTTGATGTTATCTGCAGCTCCTCTTCGCTGCTACTCTCTCTCTCTCTCTCTCTCTCTCTCTCTCTCTCTCTCTCTCTCTCTCTCTCTCTCTCTCTCTCTCTCTCTCTCTCTGTGTCTTCCTAGCTTCTTGCCCGCCATACGTTGAGTGTGTGTGTAGAATTCTTCTTTGCTCCCTGCCTGGATGCTATCCGCTCCTCTCCTCTCCTCTCCTCTCCCCTCCTCTCCTCTCCCCCCCCTCTTCGCTTCTCTTCGCTCCTCGCTTCTTGCCTGCCGTCCGTTCAGTCCGTCAACCTTGTCGGACTCCACCAGCAGGTACTCCCGCGACTGGCCTTCCGCAGTCAGTGGCACAGAACGTCGCTGCGGAAGCCAAGCGGCGAGCGGGCCTGTCGCAGTCAAGCGGCCTCGGTGCCGCTCGAACGGCCGCCGCGCGGCAATGCGGGAGGCGGATCGCCCGCTACGCCATGGGCAACGCGGTGTTTTTTTTTTTTTTTTTTTTTTTTTTTTTTTTTTTTTTCCCTAACAACACATGTTGGAATGCGGAGTAAAAAGAAGAAGAACGCGGAGTGCAGTGCACAGCTCTTTTGCATGGGGGGACGGGAATATCGACAACTAGAAAAAAAAAAAAAAAAAAAAGAATATCGACAACCAACAGCACAGCACACGGAGAAACGAAAAACTTACTGGAGTAAAATTTACGGCCATCCATCCGATTCCTCTTTTTTTCTTTCTTTCAAACGTAAGCTATATTCTTCTCTCATCTATTCCTTCCATCTTTCTTGGTAGTACACATCTATCTCATCCTCTCACTGCGGTAGTCTATGTATAGTAAGGGGGAGCACCAACCAACCCGGGATCTCTCCCCAGCCCACGGGGTAGGTGGGGACCACAGCTGTGGCACCACAGCTGTGGGGGTGCGAGAGCAAGGCTGTACCAGCCCCTCATCACGGTGACGAGGGGTGGGCAGGCATTGCCGATGGGGGAAATCTTCTTTATTTTTTTCACCGGGTAGAGATAAGGGGCCTCGCTCCACTACTCCCTGCATGCAATGACCCCCTGCCGCGCACTTAGGACTATCTTACATGTATCTGACCGTATTTACGGCCGGACCTGGATGTAACTAACCGCAATTACGTCCATAAATAAGTGAAAAAGTCCTCTTTTTTTTGAGAAAACTTCATATGTGGGGAAACCCAGTTAACGAGGTGATAAGAGCAGCCCCCTTTTAAAAAAAAAAAAAAAAAAAAAAAAAAGAAGCAGCAGCCCCCTTAAGTGGGTCCCAGCATTGAAGGCTCCATCTATTGGTGGGGAGCTTCACCTGCTGGAAATGGGGTCCAGCATCCCTGTACAATAGCCTGTCTGCTGGAAATCGGGTCCAGCGTCCCTATACGCTGATGTGTGAGAAAGTTATACTATGCGTGCTATATTGTGAGGGTGTAGTAGTAAAAATTTGCGTATCTCGTCTCAAAGTCATGCCCTTTTCCACCGTGACTGTCATATCTCCTTGTGGAGCGGATGACATCTATTACTTCCCACGGAGAGGGAACGATTGACCTCCAGCCCAACTTGAAGTTTTTGTCATCCAATTTACACCAATCTGTACCCATGTATTGTAAAGCTAATTGTGCAATTGTGCAATGTTTTTGCGTTTGTGTGTTTATGACCGTGTACACTACATCTATATTCCTACACTTGGCTGTAGTATTGTATAGACTCAAGAAGCGGGACAATTGTCCCGGTATTATTTGAACAGAGCTGGCCTGTAAAACTTTACAAACCTATAAAACAGCAAGGCAAAAGTGTGTTTTCATGCAAAATTCACTCATTTCAGTTTTCAGGATTTTTTCAGGATTTTTCAGCGCTAGCCAAAACAGTCGACTCCAAGACCCCAACAAACACCAAACTTGGCACACACAGACCTTGACCAAAAATAAAACAGGGCAAAARAAAAAAAAAAAACAGAAAAAAGTTCAAAAACAAAAAAAAAAGATCTCGAATGCACTTTTCAGGGTTGAAGGGGTTAACCAGGGCTGAAAAGTGGGGGTCCCTGTTAACCGCTTATGCACACGATCGAAGGAGGATCGACCTCCTGCCGTCGCCATCACAAAACAGAGTCTTTTACCAAGTCTCCCGCCAGGTGCCCCACATAGTAACCCATATTCATCCCACCGTGACAAAACCCTCTCCAGCCCACGGTGTCATCGAGATGACCAAAAGGTAGCCCCCCATCTACCCCTGTATCATCCATCTCCAACCGATCCTCCATCCGGTAGCGCACGTCACGTCCCTTCCGAAATAGAGCTTGGCAGACTACCATCCGTGCCTCCACCCGTGTCCAATCCCTATGGGCATCAAACTGGGGATCCGGCCCCTCTTCCAGCTCCCACAGGACATCCAAGTTGATCCAACATTTCTTGAGTGCGGGCGTCCAACCACTCAACCCGTGTGATCGCCCCCCCATCAACCACAAACCCCTTCTGCATCTGAGTCGACAAACCCCCCACGACCGCCTGTAGCTGCAGACATCCCATCTCCATGGTAGACAGCCATCATAGGCCCCCCGCTGAAGCTCCGCCACCGTCTCCATGACTTACCTAAAAGCTGCGCCACTATTCCACGTAAGAATCAAATCACCCACTCGGCCAGCACTACCCCTGTCCGCGCGTCGCAGCGCACTCATGGCTCCAATCAATAGGTGCCACGTGGCTATCAATTAGCCAAGCGCCCCTATCAGGTGGATGCACAGGCCCAACAGCCCGGGAGGACCACCTCCCAGGCGCTAGCTGCACCGGGGCGACCGGGCCTTGCCGGTCGGCCGGCTGCTGGGCGCTAGCACTAGTGCAGCTCCGGTCAGTCCAGCGTCTGTCTCTTATACACATCTAGATGTGTATAAGAGACAGCCACTATTCCACGTAAGAATCAAATCACCCACTCGGCCAGCACTACCCCTGTCCGCGCGTCGCAGCGCACTCATGGCTCCAATCAATAGGTGCCACGTGGCTATCAATTAGCCAAGCGCCCCTATCAGGTGGATGCACAGGCCCAACAGCCCGGGAGGACCACCTCCCAGGCGCTAGCTGCACCGGGGCGACCGGGCCTTGCCGGTCGGCCGGCTGCTGGGCGCTAGCACTAGTGCAGCTCCGGTCAGTCCAGCGTCCCTTCTCCGATGTGCCTTATGTCAGCTGTCATTCCAACAAGGGCCCAAGTGAAAAAGTCCTAGTGTGAGTATGCCCTTAGTGCCAACAGACTGTGATAGTCCGCTTGATACCCCTGATCGGTAGTAGTAGGGTCTATGATCAACAAGTGTGTGAGTGTGAGCGTGAGTGGGTTGTGTGTGGTGTGTGGGAGAGTGGTGGCCATAGCCACTGCTGCTACTCGATGGGGGTTGCGGAAAGTAGATGGGAGGCGCATCTACTGGCAAAATTGCTCAGTCTTTGCCCCCCCCCTCCATGGGTGGCCCCACCCTACTACCGATTAGGGTGGGGGGCAGCATGCATTCCCTTACTTGTGAGAGGTAGCTATGCTTGCAGGGGTCCCCTGTATAGGCTTCGTAGTACTGGTAGGTGGGTATTGAAAGGTGAAATTGAGAGAAGAATATAGTGTGGTTTGTTGAATAAAAACGAAGAGAAGAAGAAGGTTGTATATCTTCCGATGTTGTAGGCGAACCATGTTGTAGGCGAAGATTAATTCTCAATTTGCACATTTGGTTAGTGGAGCCAGGCCCAAGAGCTGGTTTCTGAGGCGCGGCCCAGTCCAAGAGAACCATTGCGACAGACAAAGAGGTCCCACATACCCCAACTTACCCCCAGTTCTTCGTAAACCACCAGTACTTCCTAAAAGGGCCTGTTAACACGCCACAATTTTAGGAAATGTATGGGTCACTACAGAAACGACCAAGTTCATCTGACTAGAAACGTTTCCGAGTCTAATCTATTTCTCCCACACCCGATAGCTGGGCCAAATACTGGTGGTAGGCCTTTTCTGGATGAATATGACTGCAATTACGGCCCAGCTAGGGTGCATCTGACCGCAATTGCGTCCACAGCCAAGTAAAAAAAGTCCTAGTGTGAGTATGGCCTTATCCAAACCTTGATCTCCGTGATTATCTACGGCCAAGGCGCTAATAATTCAGGTAAATGGGATCACCTTGCAGGTGGGTCTGGACCCTCGTCAGCAGACCATAAGAAAGCATTCAAAGCATCTCGTACTGAGAGCATGCTCAAAGGGCGGGGGGTACGGAAATTGCATTCCCCCCCATGTTAGACATGTGGGGCCTCGACGCCACTACTCAACATTTGACACCCATTTGCCCTGTATCGCCACCCGGGAACCAACATTTTCAATCTATTTGGGGAATTTCCACCTTGAAAAATACATTTCTCGAATGTTTGTGTAGTGGAGCGAGGATGAATTTTGAGAAGAAAAAAGAGAAAAAGACGTAGTGGAGCGAGGCCCATGGTGAGTACTGAGGCTCGGAGATAGGGCCTCGCCACACGACTCACGAGTTCTAAAACATTTCCGGGCGTGCTCCTGATGTGAAGTTCCGCTCGGGCCTCTTTGGCCACACTTCGCTATCGAACGCGCCGCTCTGACGCTCTCCAAGTCTGAAAATGACAGTTGCCACATCCGTACACATTCAGTGTGAAGCAGTCTGACCGAAGTCTGTTTTTTGTCGCTTTGAGATCCTCTCCCAAATCTGGGATGAAACGTGGATGTCTGGAGGAGCTCTCCCAAAAATGCAGCTTTGCAGGCTGTGGTTTCAGAGAGTGCTCTGGGGAGCCACATTCTGACAGCTCCCAGATTCAATCTGTCAGATCTAATAAGGGAGCTGGTGTGGCGACGCTGCACTCCGAAAACAACCACTTTCGAGGAGTAGTGCGGCGAGGCCCATAGTGTGCCCTGACCCCTGACTCGATCAAGGGCTGTCAGCCTTCCATGAGTGCTTTGGGGTTTTGATTCGAGAGGGGAAAGACAGCTTTCGGCTCCCAAAAAGAAGAAGGGGGGGGGGGAGGAAGGGAGAAAAAAGCGTGAGGAAGGGCGGAATAGAGTCACAAAGGGCAAAAAGGGGAAAAAAGGGGCGAAAATGATGGTGAGTCCCTACCCCTTCACATGTCTTTTTCGTTTTGATAATCTTCAAATTCGAACCGACCAGCCCCAGGTAGGCACATCTGATTATATCGGAATTCGAACCCAGGGGCCAGGTCCCACTAGCAAAAAGGATCGGATTAAGCACCTGAATCTGGACGGGTTCTAAGGCAGAGGTGCAGAAAAGCGGATCGATATCGGTTTTCTGCACCTGTTCACAAACACATCCAGATTCTGAACCTCGGCCTAGGTCTCTATTTGAACTGTTCAACAGTTCATGGGCCTACCAGATGAGATAGGCCAGTTGGTCTGCGGCAATTCCCTCCCCCCCCCAGGTATTTTTTTTCCCAAAGGTCACAGGGCTCCAAGGTATAGCCTTAGGAGTTGTGGTACGTAGGTCGTGAAAGATGAAAGAATTTGATAAAACAAAAAGAAGACGACACTTGGCGTGACCAGCACTACAATCTTCCCTCGAATAATACAGCGTACGGTCATTATAGCTGAATTTCGACTGAAAGATACACCAAATTCATCAGCTATAATGACCGTACGCTGTACTATTCGGGGGAAGATTGTAGGTAGTTCAGTATTGCAGTGTTTTACTTGTCTGCTTCTGCTGGGGTTCGAAACCGGGTCTGTACTTCAACAGCTTGGAGTTGTACCAACCGAGCTATACGCCAGTTGAGACAGGTTTTCGTCGCACCTTTCGATGGAGGTTTTCATCACACAATTCGCCACTTGTTACGTTTTCGTTGCTCGAGGGGGATGTGAACCGCCGGCCACAAGTTGCTGTCCCACACCTCAAAACACCGATCCAGGACCAACGGGCCGAGTAGCTCCATTGGTGCACCTATGAACTGATCAAACACAAACCTGAGTTTGTAACCAGATGAAAAAATATGGGAATGCATCTCTGAATTCCATGCGGCCGGTCGGCTCCACGACGCTATCCCGAGGCCGCCGTCACCCTTAATTAAATAAAATAAAAAAGAAACGTCGATCCAGGAGCTGGAAAGCACCAAGGCACTTGTTACCACCACTCATTTCACATCCGGCTTCGGTCCACTGCACGCCATTCGGGATGCATCTGGGCCTGTCGACGGGCCCAATACATTCACAAAGTTCGATCAGTCGAAAATTCTCGAAATGTAAGGGCGCAGTCCAGGTGGATGTAGAATGTTGAGTAGTGGAGCGAGCCCCATCATTTGCCTGTCTCTGGGCATGTAAGGGCCTTCGATAAGGGACGCTGGGCCCACTTCCCACCAGGTGCAGCTCTGCACAAATAAGATTGGCGCCATCCGCACCGAGCTGCTAGGGGAGGTTACTCGCCCACAAATAAGATTGGAGCCATTAAAAAAAAGAGCATTGTGCTGTGATCGCCCGGAGCCAGCATGGGCTGACCCACTTTTGCAAGCAGAAGCCTTTTGCAAGGACAGATCCAGAATCATCCTCAAAATCATAAAACCACCCACGTAACAAAACACCCCCTACCTATCATCAGTAGAATAGAGTTGAAGGTGGAAACTGCCTGCAGGTCCACACACCACGGCCAAAAAACCTAGGCTGCCAGCCGGGCCGCCCGGGTCCCGCGTGGCCAGCCCGTGCAAAGACCAGGGAAGGTCCCAGCAAAAAAAAAAAAAAAAAAATCAAAAAAATCCGAAAAAAAAACTATGTTATGCAGAAAAATTAACTGAACAACTTTTGCCTCAGGGTCACATCGAAATTCTGCACCAAATTTGGAAAAAAAAATACAATTAAAAAAAAATATATTTTTTATTTTTATTGTTTTTATTGTTTTTGACCCGGCCGGGCAAGTGACCCCGGCCCACTCTGGTAGCCTAGCAAAAAACAGCAAAACTACGGAATATTCTCTTTCTGTCGCAGGTACCTTCATGGCCCCTGTGGAAGGACGACACGCACAAACCGAGAACTGATAAGAAAAACAGAAGAAAAAAAAAAAAAGTAGTTCTTGCGGTGGAGCGCATGGTGAGGGAAGAGAGTGCAAAATAGAGGGTCCATGCCGTCCCATCCTGCAATGTCTGAACCGAAGCCGCTCCTCCTCCTTATACTCAGCCTGTGCCTGCTGCATGACTGAGGCATGAGAGCAAGTGCCAAGAGCAATCCAGTTTTTCCCGTTCCGTCCGGGACGAGTTCTGGTCCCAATCTGAATTCTGTTTGTCGAACCACTCCCAACCATAAATAGCGCGCACGCGGTTGCTGCACCTCATGGATTCTCATAGCATAGGATTGCTCTCAAACATAGATAACGAGCGGTCGATGCATATCGTTAGTTGTCGTAGGGTCATCTCGCCTTTTATTGTTTATTTTTGGAAAGTCTTGTCCACGAAACTGTAACCGCTCAGAACTCAGTTTCTATGACAATTGCGGCAGAGGACAAATCCAAACAAAACTCAGTTTCTACGGCAATTGCGGCAGAGGACAAATCCAAACAGAATCCAAGATACGAGCATTGTCGGTGGTGAAGATCTTACTCAGAGAAGTGGGTCAGGAAGATGGGGCAGCAGGCCCACACACCACGGGAAAATTGAGGGCAGGCGGGGGTGCTTCGCCAGATCTAGACTCTTAAAAAGACCACTTCTCTGGAAAAAAAAGCCTGGACGCTTTGCAACCCCGTGTGTCACCGATTCTCGCGCGCGGCCGCTTGCACTCCAGAAAGGCCGCCGGTGAGGGAGAGCTCACAGCCTGCACACGAACCGTTCAAGTACCAGTGACTTATACAGTTGCTTGGCCATAACGACCAAAACCAGGAGGACCGGTGAAGGGGGATCGTCCATCCAGGGTGGTCCCTCAAGTGGTCCCCTCAACCCCAACAACAACTCTGAATCTCCGAGTCCTCAGGCCCAACTCCAAATGTCCCAACTGAGCCTGTCTTGAGTACCCCACTCTCGTCCATTGTCCCCTCCGACGCTGAGGTGCGAAAGCATGGGGAGCAAACAGGATTAGATAGATCCGGCCGGGCTCTAACAAAACACGGCCAAAGGTGTCCCCTCTCATCGTAAGATTAGAGTGTGCCCACGAATAGATTGCAGCATGTCCAATTCAAAAAAAAAAAAAAAAGAAAGATTAGAGTGTGCATCCAGCTTTATCGGGAAAAAAATTCAAAAAGTTCATTTACATTACTTGGATGGATCGATCCCAAGGGAAGTCCAAGTCGTTTGTGACCCGTCCCGGATAAAGAATGCAGTCCCTGCATATCTGTGGAGAAATGACCATGAACACAAAAAAAAAAAAAAAAAAAAAAAAAAGTCGTTTGTGACCCGTCCCGGACAAGTACATATGCATGGTGGTATGGAAATGTATAGCTTAGCCAAGGGTGATCACGATGGGCGGCTTAAACGACCAGCACCTCGACGTTTTTAGGCCGTTAACGCGGTGGCTGAATCTGTGCGCCGTGCAGATCCGTATGCATTTGTTGCATCAGAGCCTCCCTAGAGGGGGCCTAAGACCCCCTGGGGTACTGGTGGTTTAACTATAGTCGACCAAGTGAGCGACATTGGAGCATTGTCTGCTAGAATGTCTCCTATGGAAGACAAATCTGGCAATGATGGAACGCAATATATGGACAGCGTTTACAGACCCCCCATTTTTAAATGAATTATTATCGAGTTAAATTCAGTTATTTTCTATTCAGCCGGCCAAAGTACTTCCTGCCATCATAGGGAACCTTTGAAGTTTGAACACAACCTCTTCACACATAGCAGGCTACTGTCTTTTCCCGAACATAACGCATATATGCGTTGTTAAACGAATACAACACATAGGTTGCTTTCTATTCGAATACAGCGCATACGAGTTCTATTCGAACAGCCCTGATGGTTTAATACAACGCATGTGCGTTCTATTTGATTTTTTCAAAAAAAAAACTCGAGTACAGCACATATGCGTTATATTCGGGGGAAGATGGTAGCAATACTAATGGCAATCTGGAAAGTGAGATGTTCCTTTGAACAAAAGAGCACACCTTTGGTCTTCCCAAAACAATAGTGGAAATAGCAAAAGCAATCAGAGTTTATATTTACAAAGATTGTGCAAATCTACCGTCTTCCCCCGAACACAACGCAACCTCATTTTGGCTGTATCTGGCCGGAAATATAACTTGTATGCATTCAGTTTTAGGGTGCGTTATGTTCGGGGGAAGACGGTAATAAGGGAGTACTGTATTTTGATTATCATCATAGCCATAAACACATGAGCACAGACACTTGTGTTACAAAGACGAAAAGAATAGTGAAGGACGACATACAAACAAGAAACACGAAGGCCAAACAAAAGGACAGACAGACAACAGACATGACACAAGGACACAAGAAGAAAACAAGATGGAAAATAATCCGAGCACAAGTGGCGCGCTTTTGAAAAACCACCGAAAACAACGTGCCAGCGGCGAACCTCGCGCGACCAAGAAACGAAAACTCAAAGTACCGTCGCGTAACGGGCGTGACCCGACGCCGCGTTTCGGCCGGTCGCCGTCCCGGCCATCTTCAGGGGTCGATTCTGCCTCAAGATGAGACGTGAATATAGCCTAACCTCTATTTATAGTTCCCTTGTTGTAGAATTAGCTATAGCTACAGCCTCAACTTAGACCCGGTAGACCTCGTCAGACTTCACAGAGCTGGACCTGGCTGCGTCAGAGAGGGAAAAGGAAAAAAGACGAGTATCCGCACAATACTTTCTCTAGCTTCTCCAGTCCGTAAAACATGTAACCCATCTGGCCCAAACATCATGATATCTCTGCAGAAATCTTCGGACTGATGTACCGAAGTACGCATCTGGAAATCCTCGAATCCGAAGCTCAATTTTCAACGTGAGTTAAAAACACGGAAATCCCCCAGGCATGCTATTCATCGCCCTGGCTCTGCGTAAAGAACGATGCTATAACAGCCATCTTCTGTTGTCTGGATGAGTACGGCGAGAAGTTCTGAAGGCTTTCAAACACAAGACCTTGGTCAAGAATACCTCTCTCATTCTTGTGGGTGACCGGCACTGACCGCAACATAATTTCGAAGAAAAAAGATCAGTTTCGGCAAGATTGGAGCTAATCCGCATGTTCAGGGAAATATGGATTGACCCTGGGGAAAAAAAAAAGAAGCATGTGAAATAGATGGATGAAGAGATTAAACCGCCAGTACCTTTCCCCGCTTGAAAAACAAATATGCAGCTCATTTACGGCCACATCTTTTGGAAAGTGCTCAGGCGCCGTTTCGTTGGACATTCATCCGGGCAAAATGGGCCGCATGCGACCCGTTTTGCCTGGATGGAAATCCAGCGAAACGGCGCTCTGGTACTCCCCGAGAGTCGCGGCTGTACACGCGCTGCGACTTTGAAAAGATAGCAGGGTAAAACTGGAGGGCACAGGAAAACAAACGGGCCGGACAACGTGTCAAGCACTTCTTTGCACCACTGCCGGGAGACATAAAGGAGACCTAAAAACTGTAAAGATGCGAACGAGCCCCCAGCAGACTTGGAGCCTGTCCTTGAGTGGGAGGTTATCCCAGATGAGGTGCATTGCCCAGCCCTCCCTCTCTCTGCTTTGTCTCTCAATCCATGGCCTGAATGTTGGTCTTCATCTCCATCTTTTACTCCAACGGACGCTGGGCCCGGTTCCCAGCAAACCTCCCACGCGATACAGAGGAAGGCTCTCCAGCTCCTCACTTTCCTTCCATCGCCATCGCCATGATTATGATTCCCGTCAACGAGCAATGAAGGACCTGATGCCGAGCGTACCCAGCTAGGTTGGCCTCACGCTAATGCTCCTACCCTCGTCCGTATCTCAGATGATGGTGACACTCACTTGGCACTGCACTGTGGAAGGGCACGCCAGCCAGGACGGAGGAGCAGGGCAACTCGGCTGCGGTTTCTCGGAGCTGCACCCTTCTATCGTAAAGCGTCGTATCCACCTGCAGCACTGGGGAGGAAGGACACGACAAAAGAGATGTGAATTTACAAAAATTAGTCGCTTGCTATTAAACGATTAGTACACACTCAACAGTGTACAGCAAGGCACACTGCCAAAGTAGCTTTGGAGGGCGCCAGACAATTGCAAAACAAGGAGGAGGAGGAGGACATGTTAGTGAACAGGAAGAACGAGCGTGGGCAAGGAGGAAGAAGCAACAATGGAGGAACGGGGAAGGGAGGAAGGGTGAGAGGGAGGGAGGAAGAAAAGAAGGATGAAAGGGAGTGGGGAATGGGTGGGAGCAAGGTAGGGAGGAAAGAAAGGACGGGTGGGTAGGAGGAGGTAGGGATGGAAGAAAGGAACGCAGGATAGGCTGAAGGTGGGGAGGGAAGAAAGGAAAGGGGGAAGGGAGGGGGGAAGAGGGGATCAAGGGAGGGAGAGGATGAAGGAATATAATGAGATGGGGAGTGAGGAAGAGAGAGGACTTGTCTCTTATACACATCTAGATGTGTATAAGAGACAGGTATAGCGGCGGGCTCCGGTGAGAGAGAGGA